TATATATATATATATATATATATATATATATTAGAGTCAAAGTGTGTATTAAAGAAAATTTCATGAATTACTTAATATACTAATAAATTAATTAATTTGATTCAAAATATAAATTTTTAAACCAAGAATTTGATTATCTAGAATCGAGTATAGAAAAATTCTTAAATTAAGTAAAATTTACTTGAATTAAGAATAATTTCTTAGATCAAGAAATTTTCCATTTTACTGCACTTGAGCATATTTATAAGAAATTTCAAAATTTTATAAATCAATTTCTTAATTAAGATGCTCGTGTACTGAAAAAAATGAACTTGATCCAATAAAGACTCTTGAATCAAAAGAATTATTTTGAAGAATTTGATTATCTTATTTATTTATTTTCTTTATTAAAAAACCCAACAACACAATAAGGCCAATAACAAGGTTACAAAAAGTTACAAAATTGTAAATCTAAATCACACATGTAACTAAAGAATAGTAATAACAGTAATATTATTTTATACACGGAAAAAAGTAAACTGTAATAAATAACAGTCGATTTATAATAAGTAATGATCAACTGCTAAAAATTTCCATTTCAAACAGTAAAATCGTGATTTTACTATTCATTTTATAATATTTACCATTTAAACGTTACAATTTACTCTTTACATGGAAGAAAATACTATTTCAAACAGCAATGTTCGCTATTTAAATGGCTAAAATGTTTAAGTATAATAATTAAGAATTCAGACTTTGATATTTATCATTTCGTACCTAAAAAATGATGTTATGATATGTAAAAAGTATAAAATAAAGTTAGTAAATTTATAATACAAGCAACGTCAATATTTACAAAGTAAAATGGTAAATTTTAAACGCAACGCTAAAAATCAAACTGTAATTATTGACTTGCTCGGGCTGGTAAAATGTATATTTTAAAAGTATAATTTTTACTGTTTGAAATGTTCAATTCTCCCAAAGTGAGACCCCCTTCTCTTTCATCTGAGTTCCCCTTCTCCTCATAATATGGATTATATATTGAAATGGCAATTTTTACTGTTTAAAACTGTAATTTTTTAAGATGAAAGAGTCGTTATTTACTATAGTGACACCTACTAATCACTTATTTTCGATATTAAATTATAAATTGTGGCTTTTATACTTTCTACATTAAGTTCTGTAATATTTATATTTTTGCCACCCCGATGTCCGCTTTACTGTTTGAAACTATAAAAATTAACCGGAATCCGAGTGAATATTACAGTTTACTTTTTTCCGTGTGTATATACAGGTTACTAGTTATAAACATTACATAGGTTATCATTGAATCAAATCTTGACTCAAATAGAAAAAATCATTGAATTTTATTTGATTCGAGAACTTTTTGTGTTGATTCAAGATGATCAAATTTAAAAAATGATTTGATTGGTTCAAGAGTTTTTCCATTCATTTATTTATTAAAGCCCCAATAGCAGGACCACATAATATTTGCATAGCAGAATATTAGACGAATAATTATATAAAATTTAATTCTTTTCAGTCCAAGCACATTATCAAAAAAAACTTCAAAATTTCGTTGATTTATTTCTCAATGGGCTGATCCTAATCCATAAATTAAAAGTTGAATTAGATTTAGCAAGTGAAAATATTTGAACTTAAAATGCTGCCGTTTTACTAAAAACGAGATATTATTCAGTTGTAAAAGATGAATGAAATGAATATTAGAAAAAGCTGACCTACCCGCTAACTCCACCGAACATTCTGAGTTTCTGGTGCAGGTATAATGTAAAATAGTATGTGCGCCACGCGAGAAAATTCATAGCTACGTTGATTTACCTTTTTTTCGCCTTTACTATTGTATGGCTCAGATAAGACGTAATGTTTGAGTATACGTAGTCTACTCCCCTTAAAAATTCTAAATCTTGTTGTTAAATGCCGAATAAATTCTCATTTATTTTTTCACGTGAAATCATCTCAAGCTTACGAATACTTACGGATATTAAAATGCAGAAAAATTGTAGAAGTTAAAAATTACAAAAAGCGAAAACAATATGCTCTAAGCAGTCTTATAAAGATTATAAATTAAGTATGCTAATCATCTGCTTTAATAATCCTTTATAGAAGCTCATCACCCCTCATGTTCATTTCTCTTGCTTGAATTAAATTAAGTAAGTCTCGTGAATTATACAGCTTACTTCAAAAGTAAAACTCTCACATGATTAAGAATTCCGTTTCATGGGGTTTTAGACTAAGTTTCAAAGCCATCTTTTTAATTGTAATGAGAACATCAATTTCTTGGAGTAACTCAGAAACTTATTAATTTAACCAATCAGAATTTTTTAATGAAGAATCAAAACTTTTATCCTTTCAAAATATTTAATATTAAATAGGTTCATTCCAATATTCTGAAAGTGTAAAAATATGTATAGACATTAATATTAATACCTTGTATACTGAGAAAAAAAATTTCTTTTAAAAAAGTGGGAATTGTTGTAACAAAAAATTAATTTATTGAAAATTATAAACAACTTTATTTTTTAACTGTATAGTAAAATTTTTTTACAGTAACTTTCTTGTTGAAAAATTTTTTTTTTGAATCGGAAAAAAAAAATTTTAGATAGACAACTTGTGAATTTTCATCCAAAATTATTTTTTCCCAAAACTAGAAAACTTTTTTTCAACAAGAAAGTTACTGTGAGAAAATTTTTTTAATTCTTTAGCTAAGATCTAAAATTGTTAAAAATTTTTAAACAAATTAATTTTTTACTACAATATTGCTCATTTTTTTCAAAAAAAAATTATTTTCTCAGTGTAAATTAAATTTTAAAAAATAATCGTCAAATGCTGATTTTCTTATCCACAAATATTAAAAAAAATATTGAAAACTGACAAAAAAAATTTCAGATTCATGCCACGCATTGGACCAGCATTGCCAGTAGATCAAAGCAATCCAGACCCAGCGATGGATATGGAACGCGCAAGCGATGCATTTATTAAGGTCCCACTTATCCTCGGCGTAACGACTGCAGAGGCTTACCTAGATTTCAACGACAATGAAATACAATTTGGCTTTGAAGAGAATCAGCGTAATCGGATTTTGCGAACGTACATCAGAAATGCATACTACTATCACTTAAATGAGATACTGTCAGCTGTCAGAAACGAGTATACCGATTGGGATAAACCAATAATACATCCAGTTAATTTAATGGAATATACCATGGAGGCTCTTAGTGACGGACATACTGTAGCTCCGCTCATGAGAGTTGCATTTTATCATGCGCGACGTGGAGCTAATACTTACTTCTATCACTTTAGCTATCAATCCAAAGACAGCAAATTTCCTCAGGTAAAAATTCATTTTTTTTACCAAGATATTTTAGTAATTTATCAAAACATTTAAAATTGCTACAGCTTTTCTTACAATTATGTTCTTTTCTTTACGTCTAAATAAATAAAAAAGTTTTCACTGAAAAAAATAACATTCGCAACAAATTTAAAACTTACAAATAAAGTGGTTTAGTCATAAAAAAAGAAAAGAAATAAAAGTAACCATTAAAGAAGGAAAGTATTCAAATCAAGACTTTCACACACCCAAATATATATATATATATATATATATATATATATATATATATATATATATATATA